AGTCGTTTTAAAAACACCATTATTATTGCACAAATGTGCATGTTGAAAGAGCACTGATGATAGTGGAGAACATAGATAACATTTGATGGATTCTCCTGTTCTAAGGTCTTAGCACAAATCAATAAGAAACACATACGAGTTCCTGAACCTCTAATAGACATTAACTGCTCATCCTTAGTGTCGCTGCTGGCAGGCTAACCTTCCTGTGGGTGTTTTTCTTAACTGCAGCCAGAACCTCTGTTGTCCTCCATAAAGGACAGACAGAGCCTTGGTCTTAGTATGTGCAGAGAGGCTTACTTTATATGAATACAGAGGTATATAAAAGAAGATACAGGAGTGTAATTACACTAATGGCTGGAAATGCTCCTGTTCAAGATATCTTGGTGTATGATGTCTGATTATGGGTGATCATTTTCTGCTTTTTGGTGAAAAAGCACAGCTCCCAGGTTCTGGGCTTTTCTGATGATAGTGGTTCAGAACAATGGGCTATTGAAGTGCATTGTCACTATCCCAGCTTAAATGTCAGTGCATAAGGCAGGCAAGAAATCCAGGGCTCAATTTGTAGTAGCATCCTCTACCAAAACTAAGAGCAGCTGGTATGATGCAATACTATACTTGAACAACCCTTACGACAAAAAATATAGATAGGAGCTTACCACAAAGAGGCCAGGAATTGAAGAAACACATTTAAGAGACGCAAATCTACCATCCTTATCTACCTTGAAGAGGAAAAAAGTGATGGTTTTTAAAGCAAATTCTGAAAGCAAATAGTAGTTTAATAAAAGAAAGAAAAAAAGGACTATTTCTTTATACCTTTTAAACCTCTAAATTGCCTGTATGTGGAATGCTATTAAAGTAATAACATGTGAAATGTTTTCCAATTGAATCACTGGAAGAGTGCTCTGATCTTTACCCATTTTATGAGAGAGCTCTCCAAGGTTTTTTCAGCTGCCATGTTTTAAATTGAACCAATGATAATTGTCATATATATATATACTAGAATATACTGTACGTTCTACTAGTATACCGGTGTACAAAGTGTAGTACAAGTGCACTATGTTGGAGGTGAATTACATTTAAGTAATGTAAAAGTAAAACATTCCAAAAGAGACATAATAATTAAATGGAAAATTAAGGGCATTATGAAAATTCAGGACTCTAGAAGGCCTGTGCAAAAAAGCAATCATGGAAAAATGATAAGAAACCTATAACTGACAATCTGAGGCAATGTCCAAAACATCACGTCCAAATTAGCTGCATATTTAACATTTAAGGACGAGCTGCAGAGGCTCAATTTGAGCAGCTTAATGCAATATTTGGGTTCAGACAAAAGCTACAAAATGTGAAGGATTTCGGTGTCGAAGGCTGTTGTGTTTAATCTTCCCAAATTGCTTTAAAAATATGAAATAAAAAATGCATGTATTATGCTCTCCGCACCAGTTAAATTCAGAGGAGGCAGGATTCGATTTGTTCAAGGATCTCGAGGCTCAAAAGCATTCTTTTAGTTAATAAAATGTACCCTGGTGACTTTAAGAACTAATTACTGAAAAGGGATGTTTGAAATATGCCACTGACAAAGAAAGAAGGGAGAAATAAAGCTTAAAGCTCAATGGATGTAAAGGTTTTCCAATGTTTTGGTCCTTATTCCTTTTTTTACAATATAATGCAACAGGCGCATCTGAAATAAAATCTAACAAATGTTTCTCTTTTGTATTAACTTATTGGAGGTTTAAGGGAAAGTATCAACCTTAATATTTGTTTATATTTTGTTTTTACATCTGTTTTAACTATTATTTGATAGTGAATTCAGGTATGTTGGCATGTCTTATAATCTTTTACCAAATGTCTGCATTGTTCTGCATTGACATTGTAATTCAGTAAATATCAGTCTTGTAGGTAGCTATTCGAAAACGACTTCTTCCCACCACTGATTGTAAGTAAATGTATTGATGATATAAAACGTTGGTACTTAACAGTACAGTCTGTCATCTTAATCAATGGGCTGCAGGACTTTGCCCATTGATTAAGATGACAGACTTATAAGAAAGAGGACATTTCCCATGTTGCTGCTGTGTGTGACTGAAGGAGCCGCTCCATGCAGACAGAGAGGAGCCTCGATGGATCTCCTCTGCTCAATGCTGGTTCTTTCCTCCGTCCAGCAGGGCCTTAAATGTATTTCTCTGTGTTCTGTTATTTGGTATGAGATGGTCAGATATGGTCTGAGTGGTTGTTATGTAAGGCTTAAAAGATATGGAATGACATTGACTGCCATTAGTCCTTGTCTCACATTGTCAATATGAAACAGAGAGCTTGTTTATCAGTTTCTCTGGGATGCTCTGTTATGTTCGGAGCATGTTTCTTCTGGCATGTTTTTTATTTGGATGCCATATATAGCAGCATTGGTCTGTTAACCATACCGTAGAAAGCATTCTTGAAGCAGCGTATTGGAAGTGTGTCTGTTTATTCTACTTTTCTCTTCAGAGATAATGTACATTTTCAAAAAGATGATTTACTCCAGCAGCATGGCAAGTGTCTCCTTCGACTTGGAGATTTGTGTTTGACTCTTTAAAAGGACGATTTGCGTTAAAGTGCTCAAATAATGACATTATATTTTTAGATTCATCTCGTCCCAGCTTTTTCTATTTTTTCATCAACTTTCACAGCTTCTGTAATTTGAATGCAATTTCAGGTTCTGATTGCTCTGTTGCTTGAATGCTAATCATTGTTATCCTATAACTTGTTTTCTATTATGCTCTTTTTGCGTTTAAGGAAAGGTCATTTAATAACACAGAGAGAAATGAAAAAGTTACAAGAGGACAGTAAACAGATGCGCAACAACAACATAGGAGATGCACACACACACACAACAAAGTGTCGAGCCTTTGCTTCTGCAGGAGTGTGTTTTTAAAAAATCACTCATCTTTTCCCCACAGTTCTGAGGGGTAAAACTAAAAAGGAAAATACTCGGTCACTACTTTGCAAGAAACTACTCAAAACACCAGCATTGTTCTGAAATTCTCTCTCAAAATAAACAACAAAATATTCAGTTACTGTCGGTTTATCAAGTTGTCAATACTTGAGTTGTTATTTTAGGTGTGATGGGATGATTAGAAGTATTGATGCTATAATATAATATTAATTAAGCCTTACTGCATTTTATGTAGAAACACCTTATTGTCCTTTTTAGATTTGAGTTTTTTACCATCCAAAGAAATGCTCATATTTAATCCTTCCTCCTCTCATCAGCTAGTTGCTAGTGTTTCTGTGTTGGTATTCTCTGTACATGTATTCCTTCAAGCAAGACCTTTTATAATATCCCCTTTTATCACATTGTCATTTAACCCAATTTACTAAACAATGTCAGTAATAGCTGCTTTGAGACCTTAAGGTGAGACTATAGTGCTGCTATGGCTATACAGAAATGTAGTAAGTACATCTATTCCATTTGATATCCGTCTTTGTGAACAACTGGAGCATTTGTACCCATTAATGACCTTCACACATACTGCATAATACACAGCTGAATCTTCTCTTGTATTCAAAAACCGTGCCAGCAAACTCAGAGTCAAACTGCTGGTCTTTCTACTCTTTGATACCTAAAAACTTGAACGTTTAATTTATCAAGTCAGACAATAAAGACTTGATAGTATGAACTGGCTTTGTAGCGACCGGGAATTATTTTAATTCACACTTTGAAGTATAACTGTGCAACGCTCTTCCATAGAGTCTCCTTTGTGCTGAGCAATGTTCTCAAGTCAATGGAGGCCCAGCGTGTCAGCCCACCTTTCCATTAGCGGAACAGTAGCCTTGATTTTGTATTTCTTATTAGAATTAAGAAGGTTGTGCGGGTCAAGCTCTCTAAGAAAGATTTTCTATGGGATCTTTTCTTTTAATTGAACTAACCAGACAGAAACAGGTTTGATATACAGACAAACTTTTCAATAATGAATCACATTTGTTTTAGGTAGAATGGCATTTTAGATTGAAGACAAACTCAATCTGAACCAATCATTCAAAAATATTGAAGTATTTTGTATCTGATAAAGAAAGTCAGACGTCAATTACAAGTCACGCATTTATTGGGAAATACAGTGGCACAAAAAGCAACCCAGGGATTACTGAAAACAGGAGAAAAACATTTCCAACACACTTTCATGAAGTCAGATTAAACTATAAACCATTATATACAAGGACCTCATGAAGAATTATCATTATTTTCCAACTGTCAATCCTCTGTGGGTGGAGACACCTCACTTTTGGGCAGCTTCTGAATGAAAAACAACAGGAAACAAACATAGTGTATCTTGAAATGGATCTGTGAAATCATTCAAAAAAAGAAGCTGAGAACAAAGAGGAAAAAACACTTAACTTGTTCATGCAGCAGCTGATGCCAAAACGATCCATCAAAAGAGACTAATATTTAGATTTCAATTATGTCTATCTTATCTCCTCTAATTAACGACCCCGATCTTGTGTTGACATTAAGGTTTGCTTACAGATAACAAAATATAGAGTGACTCACTGATATATTAATACACACATTTGAATTATATTGCACATTTCGTAAATAAGCCTCTGTCACATTTTATGCTCATAAAACTACCTTTTAATTCTCCTTTAAAGTATTGTCTAAAGTGTTAGATTATATATTGTTGGGGTGATTTTATGAACATGGGGTAAGAAGAGCAACACTGCAGCATAGAGGGCTTAAGTTATCTTTAGAGGAATGTGTCAGCTTGTTGGTTGTCGTCATGAAGTATTTAGGAGAAGAACTCATCCACTTAGACAACATTCATGAGATAAATGAAATATCTGTTCTGCATTAAATACAGCACTGGTGGACACTTTGGTAAGTCATATTCCATTTTATGTTTACAAAACTCTGCACTTAAGAATAGTGGAATATTATCCTCATTATTTACTGTATAATAAAAGTTGTACGAGTAGTCACAGTGAAAGAGTTAAATGGTAAACATATTTTCAAACTGTAACTAACCTTTATTACACATTCAAATCAAAGGAAGGAGGAACAAAATATAACCCGGTGTTGAAGAGAACCTTTTTACAATATTAAAGCTATTTGTTAAGTCAGAGGAGGTTAAGTCCTCTGAGTTCAAAGCGCATACCTAAAATGTTTTTTAACCCAACATAGATGTACTTATTGATTTCAAGATACTTAAAAGGAGACTGATACATTCCACTAATGTGTTTTATAAACCAGGTCACCAGGCAGTGAGAATATGAAGGTACAAAGGTTACTGCGCCACGTTTAAAGAGAAGGTTCTCTATATTTTTCTACATTCAAAATTCTGTATTGAAACATGAAAATGTGCCTCTACAAATAAAAACATACTTTTAATATTTATTTATCGAGGGAAGTGTCACCGAGACAAATGTTCTCTTTTACTCAGTTAAAAGTTGAGTCTGACAGTATAGAGCGATCAACTTTTCCTCATATTTTTATGTTTAGGGTTTATAAAGAACGTTACAATCTTTTTGGACTCGAGATGGAAATTTGAATAAAAGCCGTCAAAACTGACCCGACAAGACAAGAGATCCTCTTTTATTATTCACACATTTATCTTAACCTGCTGCCTACATTACCCACAATGCAACTCAATACCTAGAGAGCAGGTTACGTTGGTGCATTAATTCTATCTGTAGCCCCCCATTCGTTTTTTGTTATTTTCAAACATGTGTTTTCAAAATAAGTGACATTACAAGACACATCAAACAGCTCCCCCTGGAGTCCCTCGAGGCTTTATACAGTACAGCTCTTCAGAAATAGTTAATGACTAAATGAATGATGTTAAACAGCATTTCATTCAGAAAAAGCTGTATCATCTTGACCATGGAAATGGTAACTGACCTAATGAGTTTCAACATATTTTAATTGCAGATGTTGAATTTTTCTGAGAAATTTAAATACTACCCATGCATGTTGGTTTTCATTTTAAATTTCAAATATTATTGACCTTAAAGTAGAGCATACTGTAGAGCTGGGCAACTCCTTCTGCTGAGGAAAGTGTTATAAAACATTCAAAAGAGGTACTGAATGAACCTTTGTTCGTTTTGTTATTAATAACTAATACTTACAAAACCTTCCGTCAACTGACATGCCCTGAGATTTTGAATTAACAGGTTTCATTTTATGAGATGAACACTTGTAAAAAAAATATTTAAAATAAACCTGATTTATCGTTGGTTTCTTCTCTTTAGTACAGGCACAATAATTAGGCCGAATTGCAATTCGGATATCCATTCAAAAAACAAAAAACAAAACACACAAAATTGGATATGAACGCAAGCAATTCCGATGTCTGGAACCAGGCTCCGTTAGTAGTAGTTCATTCCCAAAGCAGAATCAATGACAAACACTGAAGCGGTTTATCAGGCATGAGTTTAGTCAATAACACTTCAAACGCATAACCTTTAATCACTCTTTTTTTCATCGTAAGTTCCTGCAGCCTCCTCACAGTTATGGCACATGACCGCGTGAGCATGCAGGTGATCACCTTCAAAATGTTATTTCTCCTAAACATCCAGCTGGCTCACACACTTCATAAAAGGCTTCGGCTGAATGAGGGGAAAAGAGAAAAATAATCTAAAACACAGAGAACACAAATATAATTGTTGAAAACGTTTATGAAAACAAAGCAAAAATACTGACATTCATAAAGAAGACGCTGGCACCGTTACATGTTACAGTTCGCAAGTATTTTCGCACAGATGTATGAAGTCCAGTCAGTGTGTAAGAGTCATTTCTTTGGTATATTAAAACACTGTAAACCAGTAAAGCAGCTCATATTACATGCAGCAGATTTAGTCATTTAAAGTGGACCTATCATGCTATATTTGAATAATAGTGTAGGACCATACCTATATAAGGCATATTTATACTTTTTTTTTTTCAAAATACCAAACAGATCATGCATTTTAGCCATGCCTCATTTTGCTCAATTTGACATTTTTTAGCTCTGTTTTTGCAAGGGCAGATTCTGTGAGAACAGCACCACCTACAGGCCTGGCATATGTACTACAGCGTCTCCAGCGCTTTCGAACGGCAATGGCCGTGGCTGTCTCCTCCTGATTGGTGGAGTTGGCCCAATAGCCGTAGCGCCACTGTCCTGACGTCAGGACAGTGTTCAAATCTGGATCAGTTTTTATCAGATCCGTTGCAGCCCCTTTTTTAGAGATTTGGGTATGGAGGAAAATAGAGAGGGTTGTGTTTTCTGACACTTGGTGAGTTCCCTGGCACACCGGGGACACATATTCATGTATAAAAGACGTACAAAAGTGCATTTTGCATGATAGGTCCCCTTTAACATAAAAAAATTAGGTAGCTGACAACAAAACACAAAAATCTAATTGCATATTCGGCACATCATGCTGTAAAAACAAGTCTTTGCAAATATCATTCACAGATATTGTATTAAAAAACACAACTCTAAAGTGCTTCATAGGCATCAATAGATAGTGTCCAAAGTAAAAGAGACCTGCAGTTGATCTTTCAACAACATGCTTTAAAATGATGGCAAGAAAGGCGAGCATATTCAAACACAGCATGCTCACCAGCTTCTACTGTCCACAGTAAATTAAAATAAATCATAAATAAACGTTTTTAAACGTAGTTGTAATGCTATGTTTTACAGGGAGAGGTTTAAAATGGGCATAGTATCTCATTTGAGCTTTAATGGTTTTTCTGAGAGTCAACAGTAGATGGCAGCAAAGTAGAACAAAATACTGAGAGGGAAACTCACTGCAGATATTCTTTGGTGTTATCCATTCAAGAATCCATAACAAATTAAACTGAGAGTTCAGTATAAAAATAAAAAATAAAATGGTAAAACACACAAACCTGCATTTAGATCTTAAAGTGAAACAAATATTGCAGGAGCAGGTATGCATAGTCAAAAGATAACCTGTCTGCTGGTCAGCATTCAACTGAGAGCTGGCTGTTTACTGCTGCTTCGACGAGGCAGTTCCCAAAAATAAAGTGCATCAAGTTAGTCAGTCATGACCTGATTTAAAACATTTAACTGCTGGATACATTTTCCAAGACAGTTTGTGAAAGGTTGAGTTCTACAGCAATGATGATTTCAGCATTCTCAAGCCTTTAATGCACTGACTGTGGCCTGTTTTATTTGCACTTTAACTACCTTCTAACTATTAATTTAACTTATTCTCACCCAACAAAGAGTACAGTTTACACATCAAACCCACTGCAAAATAAAAAAATGCAGCTTTTATTAACCCTGTCCTAAGGTTGAGTGAGCAAACCTACAGCGACTCTTTGGCTGATGTACAAGATACAAAGGGCAGTATCATCATAAAGTAAACATTACAAAGCTGCTTGTGCACGGCTACAAATTAAATAAAAAGAGAACACTCCTGCTGATGTGCACTTCGGCCACAGATTTAATGGCATTTGAAGTCAAATATTAACAGCTGGAGTCTGCTAAATGAGCCTGTGCCCTATCTGCTCCTGCAGCCACAGCAGAGCAGGCTGCAGAGCGCCGGGCCCCTCAGGAGCCTCTGTCTGCATCTGCAGCAGAACATCGTGTAAAACTAGCAGCAGGGGCAAGCTCACGCTCAGGAGTTCATACAGGAGCTCATAGTCCTGGGCATTGTCCCTCAGGTGGGCGGCGAGGCTCTGTGCTGTACTACGCACACGATTGGACAAATACCGGGGGGCGTTACACACAGCACGCGTCACACGCAGGGGCCAGCTCAGGTGTTTCCTCATGAACGAGCTGAAGGTACCTGCTGAGGATTCACCATGCAGGTCCACAGGGCTGCTGGACTGTGAGCTTTGTTCATCATCTGCACATGGCTCCTGAACTCTGGCTCCAGATGGATTCTACGTAGAGGACAGAGGAGTTAGAAATCTTACGGTAAATACTGCTAGATTAAGATGGATATGTTACAGTAATGTACTCACAGAGCGAAAAGACAAGTTCCTCCGCAGGTTTGTCCCGTTGTTGCGTTGATCAAAATGAAGTTTGCAGTACAATTTTCCTAAAGGATTACAGCAACTGTCAGTAAAATGTAGCATACTGAGCTTGGATTTATATTGTAAATGTAGATTGAGTACTAAAGAGAGCTGAGATCTGATGACACATACCCTCTTCAGAGTCGAAGGCATGTGCTCCCTGTCGCAGGGTGGAGCTGCAGGTGAAACAGCGGAAGCACTCCCTGTGGAAGAAGAGCCCCTCGGCACAGACCCTCTCGACCATGTAAACACGCTTCTCGCATGAATGACACTTGTCGCCCGACGGGGGGAATGCCCTTCGTAGTGAGCCGCCCTGGGATACAAAAACAATGAAGATGAGCAGTGTGTCACAAAAGCTTAAACACTGACTTTAACCATTCTTATCTATCACTATTTCATACTACTTCAACTCAGGGTGATTCAATATTCACAATTTAAGATCACTTGGATGTCTGTCACTTTTGACAAAAAAAGACTCCTCAAAATAATCCTTTATAAGAGAGCCTTTGCGGCTATTCAATATGTTAAATCTAATTTGATCTTTTGAAAGGTTTAATGTCTGGTCAGTATTACCTTGTGGCCTTATATATTTTTTTATAAAGCTATTAAGAAGGGCTTGAATTAAGATTTTATATTCCAAGTTCAAGAATAAACGTTTAAGTTCAACGGTTCTTACTGGTCACATAACTTTGTGCGATAAATGTAGACTCCGTGTTGTTCTTGGAATTGTTGAGGAAAGCTTGAAACAACGGTGGTATTACATGCAGGGAAACTGACAACGTTAACGGTTGAGTGCAAGATAAGAAATACCCAGCCGTTTCAATGTCACCTCCTACATTTCATATTGACCAGATATAAATAATGTGTACTGTGAAGTCTGCAACCTCGACCTTGTTTGCAACGGCACACTAAGATTCAGCCAAGAGGAAAACATAGTAACGGAGAGCAAATAAAGATAATTATAGAATGGATTTAAACACAAGGTTACACAAATAAACACAAGTGGTTAGGTTAAAACGTTTATCATGTCTAAAGAGTTCCCCAATGGCTCTTGAGAATTGAAATGTGATCCAAACATTGTGTACCAGGAGTTGTTCCTTTATATTTAACCAGCATGCTATAGCATCTGGCTGTGGAGTTGGAGCAGGCTGTTTGGGATGGGTGGAGCAGAGGAACCCACAAAGTGCCACCACAAGAACACACACTCCTCTTATGTGAGGACTGCTCGTGATTAAAAGCATGAGGGGCAGAAACGGCAGTTAAAATCAGAGCACTCATGCAAAGCAGCAGTCATTTCACATACAACTGTTATGATTAAATAGAAGGATGACAACAATGTAAATCTTGAGCTGAAATGCTTGTTTTTTTAAAGATGTTTTAGAACAGAAAGAAAATGTGCTGCCATCAGGATGATTAAAATATGTTGTTCTTTCACTACCGAAACACTAATTACATCATGAGCATTAGGTCGACTAGATAAAACTACGGCTGTCTAAAAAACAGCCCTTCAATAAACCGTAACTTATTAACATTTAAAATGTTCCAAATTGGTTGAAGAGAGAGTCAAGGTTGTTAAAGGCTGTAGTATGTGGTGCTGTTACATTTAATGTTGTTATATTGACACATGCTATGGCACTTGAGATGGCAATCTTGTTCTTAAAGAAACATTATCATTCATTTGGAGTCCTATGTTTGGCCAGCGTATACATTTAAGCCCAATATTCACTCTCTATTAGCTCTTTAGCGGTTAAATGCTGCACTATGTTTACCAGCTAGTTGCTAAATGGTTCTGTTTGCTGTTTGGTTCAGTGTAGGTAGTGTTCAGTGGGTTTTATAGCTTTCTTGCTGAAAAAGCTGCATGCTGTGACTGAAAATGACGCTATGAGAGGGGTGAAAGTGAATCAAAACAGTAAAGTTGAGAGGTCTTAAGGTTTATGACTACCGCTTTCACGTTGTATTCACATTGTCATTTGCTAAAGGATAAATATAAAAAAATACTATCCACATTAAATCTCACTTTGATGAAATCAGTAATTTAATTATTATGACAGGTAAAATACAAAATGAAATGTATGGTTTACAAAATAAGGGACTATATGTGAAGACTGGTCAAATGCAGCACTTATGATACAATACACAACATTTCTCTTCATGCATTGAACACACTGTGAAGAGCACAGGGTCAGGGTGGGGTCACACAGCAGGCAGGATATAGTCACCTTGAGCTCAGCAGAGCTCTCTGCTGAGAACAACCCCCTAAGGTGAACAGCTTTTTCCTTTATACTCTTTGTGTGAAACTCTCTAGCCTGTTGTGTCTGAGCTTTTTTCTGCAGGATGACACGGAGGACAGGAACAAAACAAAAGCCATCAGTCTTGTCTCTACTGTACAACGAGACACATTCTCCCAGCAACAAATGTGGAGCTTTCCGTGTGTAAATAGCTAGACTAATAACCCTTTAATAAGCATTACACCGGTAAATGATGAAAGGCCTTTCTGTTCCTACTTCCCCAATAACAAGGAGGATTTTCCAGCTAAGTGGGTATTGTTGGGAGGAGAACAATAGCGTGGCTGTGTGGGATGAAGGCTGCCTTATTACTTTCATTTCACACCCCACATACTGTACTGGAGCAGAAAACAGCCACACAGAAATGGCACAGGAATCAGAGACTAGTACGTTGGTTGAGCCAAAAATAAAATGGCAATAAATCCCCTAGTGAAGTCGTAAAGTCAGATTTCAAAACACTTTAAATGCGCAATGTTGAACTTTCTACACATTGATAATACAGGTGTGGACAGAAATGTAAAGGAATAGCTAATTATTCGCTTAGTAATTTGAGAGTTAAAGTATTCAAAGGATAAATACCACTGTCTTGTGCCCAGGTATGGATCTATACTCAGAGGGGGTTACACTAGTATTTCAAATGATCTAATATTTAAGTAAACGAAGAAGGCTAATAAATCATTAAACACAGTCAATCTGCACTGAATAAGAGGAGCTGTGGTCACGAAAATAATCCATCTGGAGGGCAGTTTATGCAATATTAATTTAGCGTTTACTCTTTTTTTTTTTTAAAGAACACTACACTGGGAAAACTGCAGTTATTGGTATCTCATAAATCACTTTTCTCAAAAAAACTAAACTCTCAATGACTTGATAAGGAGAACTATTTTTCAGTGCTAACTTGAGCCAACGCAGGCAGGCAGTAGGAACGTCTGAACAATCCAAAATAACTTTTTGAAGACCTAAGCAAAGGCCTGCAGCCCGGCTCTGGCCAAACCTGCTCAACTCACACTCAGACTGGCCAATGATCCGCCTGTGTGCCTGTCTCAGCCCGTGGCCAGCTCTGTGGGCCTGCTGCTGCCATTTTTGTCAGGCTGGATAATTTAGGGGCTGACTTCACCATCTGACTACACATTACACAAAACTAAATGTATAATCAGGGCATAATATATAATCAGCCTTCACCCTGGGGCCTTTTTGGGGATCGGAGCATGCAACAATCACATGATTTTGAAAAGAAGGCAGGGAGGAAAAACAGAAGTTAAAGACGTGAAGGAGAAGATAGAGATCACCTCAGAGACGTGTTCGTCCACCTCCCTGAGGCGCTGGAGGACTCTCGACATGAAATGGATTGCAGAGTGGCAGGAGGGAGACGGAGCGGGGGGGTCTGCGCTCTCAGGCTGAGGCTCGGGCTTCGTCTCAGCGTGCGTCTGATCAACATGTCTGAGCCTCAATACAGAAAATGGATGCTGGGCCTCGGGCTGCAGCTGAGGTTTGGGGAGGGTCTTGGGAGGCGGGCGCACTAAGTGTTCGGCTGCCTTTCTGATACTGACTTCAAACTGAAAGGAATAATATACAGTAGTGCACATGTGAGCCGTGGCTCCCCATCAAGCACAGAACTCCATGAATGTATTTTCTCCTTTCCTAAAAAGCTGTAGATCATTTAAAGATCCAGGTGGTTTTATACGTCTCAGCCCATTAACCCCAAATTACTTTGCTGCCAAACATCTTCAAAGCATTGCACGTGTATTTTGAGGTGTTATTCCCGCTGGCATAGCATGGAAATCAACTTGCATAGAATATTTACTGAAATAGATTACCTATCTGTTTCATGTTTTGCCATAGTTATGTAATCATCACATGTTAACCCCAATGGCAAGCAGGCTGCTGTTTAAACAATTCAAAAACTGGAAGGTCAGTATGAAACTCAACACCTGACAGCAACATTTATGAATGAGAGAAACTGTTCACAATATCTTTCTCTGGCAGCTGCAGACTACCTGCATCTCAGGAGGAGGTTTAGGTGGGACTCGAGGCCTCAGTTCAATGTGCACTCTCTCAGCAAAGGTAAGAGTTTGCAGGGAAGAAGACGTCTCAAAGTCTGACTGAGATTTTGCAGAAAGGTTAGGAAGAACGTTAACAAAAAGTCACAGAAATAGAAAAGGTAGAAACGATTAAAGGCTGGAAACAACAGAGAAGAGAAGACTTTGTAACAAAGGAAGGTTTTGTCCGCAGACCACTGTCCAAACTCCAGCTCACAGCAAGGGACATTTAAAACATATTTATGATATGTTGTAAAAAGAAAGCAAACCATTTAAACTATATTAAAGCAGTAAGGATTAAACATGTTTCCTTTAGAAAAATACAACATACATACAGTACAGTAAAACATACTTTCTTACAGCCCAATAGGACGACAATTAAAACCCTAGTTGGACTACAGTAAAATCAAAACTATGGGCCTGTTTTAAACACGTTTGTTTACCTGTGTTTTCCTGATGGAGTAGCTGGGTCTGGGTGAGCTTTCAAACTTGGCCAGCAACTGAGTAGAAATTGAGCGCACTTTATTTTCCTTTGGCTCTTGGTCGTCTCGCACTGGGGAGCCATTACTCGACAGATTGGTGGCCTAACAAGAGACAGACAACAGGGAAGATCCTACTGTATCAGCAGGCTTTTTGAATGGTTGTTAAATATAAAATTACAAGTAGGTAAGTTAGCAACAAACCTCCTCCAAATAACTGCAGAATTTCCGCCTCCTTTTGTAAATGGGATCTGTACCGTCTGTCTTCTGTTCATCCTGAAAGGACAGCAGAAGAAAATAAAACTGAATTTCAAACTAACAAAATCTCATATGTTTATTTAATAAAATGCATTTTATAACTAATTTAACAATGACATACTGTATGTTTATAAAACAAATTCCAAATGAATGCATTTTTAGATTTAAACAGTTCAGTGTGGGGTTACCTTTGGTACCCGTTTCCTGGGCTGTGCAAGATTGAGCACATTATTATTACTTCTGACATCCTTAGAGGGATAATCTTCATTATTTTCATCCACTCCTCTGGATCCTGCAGTATAACACATGGCTGCATTAGAGTTTCCAAGTTTCCACAGTGCATATCCATTAAAGTCAGATGATATCAATGAATAAGGACCATATAGATATAGATAGAAAGTTATACGAGTGGTCTGCGAAAAAAGTGATTGTAGTGAAGAGAAGAGAAATGTTCCACTGAAAAAACAAAGCCTTATTGAGTCCCTCAGCTGCATGTTAGAGGGATGTGACTGATGTCAAATAAACAAGATATTATAGGTAAGCATTCAATATCCCTTCATCAGAGAAAGGCAGCTGTTTTCATGTTGTCAAGACTCTCAGACTACAGCAGTGCACATCTCTGGTGCAGATACACATTCCTCTCATGCCACTTTACTTGAAAAATAGGACTGGACAACACCTGTTGTTTTTTTACAAGAAACCAACGTTTTGTGGTTGTTCTACATATTTTAGCCATAAAATACAGTGAACAGTTTATAATCAACAGAACAAATAACAATACATATATACATACAGTAATTTAGAGTTAAATAGTAGATTTGATTACAGGGGAAGAGTACAGCTGAATGCAGTCAAAGATAGTAGTCCAGTAAAGTAGCATAAAGGAGAGTAATGAGAGTACATTAAAGCAGAATGAATTAAAGTAGAACAGAGTTAAGTAGAGTACAGAACAGAAAATTAAAGCACAGCAGTGTTGAGTACAGTACATTCAAGTAAAAGTAGTGTACACTTGAGTAGACTAGTATTGAGTAAAGTACAGTAGAATAAAGTTAAGTAGAGTAGTATTGAGTACATTACATTAGATTAAAGTTAAGTAAAGTACCTGAGGCAGGTAGAGGTGTGCCGCGGAACAGCTCGTAGAACTTGGACAGGTAGGTGATCATCTTGGTTTTATCGAGCTCCTGACCAACACTCAGCTCCTGCCCGGATGTGAATGGCGCAATGCCAAACTCACGCTCACCGACGTCAAGAGCCAGCTGGAGGTTTGCAGAGTGGTCTTCCTCGTTTAATGAATCAAAATCTCTGATGGGAAAAATACAATTATGTTGACTTCAGTGAGTGGAAGGTAATAAAAAAAGATTCAGCGTACGTATTTCTTTGCAAAGTAGGGAAACATATATAGTCAGTGTCAGCCTATAGTTAGGTTTTAATGTACTTCTGTCTGTTTCTGGTTTACATTAACCCTGATCACTCGCACATCATACACATATAAACCTTTGTCATTAAACATATTTTCCCTTCCTTCTTTTTCTAAAAATGCATACTTTTCACTAACTGCCCTGAATAATGGCACAGGAATGTAACAGTGAGGTTTGTAGCTGAGATTCTTGAAAGGATTATATACTGACTTTCATTTCATGCTGGTGTCAGGTGACTGATGTTGAGCAGAGTGTAAGATAATAAGCACACTAATATGAAAACAGTTAAAAGCAAGCACAATGAAAGGCCTTTACACAGAAAGCTACTAAATCAATTTCCAGCCCTGCAGAATAACTTGTTTCCCAAATTGCAGGAGAATAATGGCAGCAAATTACTTCTAATGGAGGAAAACGGCAGCACTGACGTCTGCACCTTCGCTGATGGTGTACAGACGGCGTCAGAAATAATGTAAAGAGCAGTAACCTAGCAACAGCAAACACAAACATTGGTGTTTTTCGGTAAGTTCAGGGGTTCGCTCTATCTTCCTTTCTTTCTTTTTCTAAGAACCTGCATAACTCTCTGCTGTCTGCTCTGCTGACAGGCATGCATATGGAGGAGGGAAGGGGGTAAATGCCAGTGGTTCCTGGAAACTTACAGAACCACAAGAAATTGTAGTGGCATGTGGCGAGATATGAAGGCAATAATTAAAGTGTGAGAATATATAATTACATTTGTAAATGTACTTATCTACAGTTGCATCGGCTAATTCCACACTTTGCTAGTCAGTCTCACCATTCAAAGTGGAAACTAAGGTACAGTTTTACAGTTTCTTTCTATTTTAAAAAGGAGGGTTTTGTCCTATAAGTGGACACTGAAGCACACCAAGAGTAGTTTTTAAAAGGGACATTATTCAGACTTAAATCCTAGTCAATACTAATATTTCTGGAGTATAAACGTTATAACAGGGACTGAAACGACCACTTTTTATTTCAGTTGAGGTGATAATCCCGCTGACAAAGAGGCCTTGGAAAGAAATGTGTGAAATGTACACAGCTGCTCCAGACTACCAGCTATATATATATATGTATAGGCCATCTATGTATGAAGTATTTCTCGCATCCATCAGCACTTTCTGTGTGAGGAGGTAGAGAGCGCAGCACAAAACACACACAGATCAAGACTTTCTCTCATACCTAGCATATTTTACACACCTTTAATAAAGGATTTTTCTCACAACCAGTTGTTACAAAAAAAGAGTGAAGAACTAACCTTTCAAAAACTGGTTTGTTAATGTGACTGAATGAATGCATTAAAAACACTGGTTTTAGATGTAAAGATAAAGCCCTGCAGTCTGGTAGTGATATTATCTTGAGTGTGTTACGTACATCAGCTGGGGTTTGAACCTGTGGATGAGGGCGCAGAGGGCGATGCCACTTTTCCAAGAAGACGTCAGGTCTGTAATCAGCACATTCCTGAAGCCCTCCGTCTGTTTCTGGCACCAAGTAAGAAGCCTTGTCGGTCTGATTTCTGACTCTGAACAGAAACGTATAGTTCAAGATCTCAGCTAAAGAGGATATGATGTCACAAGCATGGACCAACACATGGCGTGCCGGTAAATGACGTTATCACAGAAATGATGCCGAGGTATGTACAAGTCAGGCCATGTACTTTCTCACAGCATTCGATGAAAGATTCTGCTTCTGCTTTTATTGCTAGTTCCAAGATCATAACCCACTTTGTTACAAATAAGGACAAATGTTCACTTTTCCCCCTTTTTTGGTATGAAGCACAAAACACAGTGCAATTTATAACAAGGAGCTTAAGTAATGTTGACCTTTGATAGTGATTTAAATGTGATTCATTAAATGTGTCTTCTATTATGAAATTAATACGTTTTCTCAGAACTTTCTTAGTTGAGGATTATTAATAACATAAGATGAGACACCATGATCAATCAGAATACTACTCTAAATAAACTAAAGAAGGGTCATAAGCATGTTGAACTACAGATCCACTCTGGAAACACTTAGACTTACCATGTCTGCTGAGATTGACAGGTCTTCGTATGGTAACATTACGCTGCAGAGAGCAAGAACTCAATTCTGTGCTGATGTACAAGTGACGCACCTGAGACAGGGAGGAGAGGGGAAATGATTACAATAAACACCCTGAAGAAGTTGTGTAAGAAGTTTTGTGGATGGAAAGATGGAGAGACTCTGGTATTGCCAAGGTAAGCTCCCTCTCACCTGGTGTGGCCTGACACAGGCGGAGTTGAGGTTGGGGTACCGAGTCCCAGGGTTTATGGTGTACTGCTCAAAGTTTTTGCCAATGTTTTCAGTTGTTGTCTGTGGAAGTAGCCTGTAAATACTCTCCCTATAGAAACACAAAATGGAACATAGTTCAAGAGAAATGGTGTTATGTAAATCACTTGGCAGTGCTCATTCAGACCGTATCTACAGATGCTATACTTAGCAGTATTGAATTATGTATTTATTTATGTGTATATACTGTATGTGTGTTTGTACCTTTCTGCCAACACTTCCAGAGCCGTGCGACCCTGAGCCCAGCTCTTTACCATCCAGGCCGTGTCAAAAGCAGCCAGGAAGCCTCTGGCACATCCCGTCCCCATGGGCCAGAAGGGCTGCACAGAAACACACAACAGATATAAATATGATTGTCTCTCAGTGTTTCTACTAGAACTTGTTAACCTGCATTAAACCGCCCCAAGAGTTGATTAAATAATGGCACATGTACCTTTTACAGTGTTTTTTTGCTGGCAATCATGTTTAGCATTGTAAGATCATATATCAAAATGCTGACTATCAGACTTTTTGTAAACAGCTATAACAATGATGGTGAATCAGCATTTGTCCCGAAAGCCATCTTTTACGTCTTTCTAAATGTAGTGATTGTCACGGAGTACAACCAAAAAATGTGCCAGTGCTCAACTGTGTGACTACTGGCAACATTATCATCAAAGGTGAGTCTTTATAAAAAGAGGAGGTGGAGCATCTCACACACTGGAGAAGGACATCAACAACAGTGCTGCAATGACCCCTGCCTCCCCTCTCCAGACTCATACTCTACAGCAAAACAAGACTGCCAGATTGTGTAACAGTTTATTTCCCTAGGCAGTCATGCTCCTCAAAAACCTGCTACCTTTCTCCATTCATCTGAACTGGGCTCACTTTCCCATCCTTACCTCGAGCAAGCTGTCGCCAACCAGTGCTACCAGCAGCTGGTGTCCAAATCTCTCCCTGACCAGAGCAGCGTTCTCCGAGGCATACATGTTTGTGAAGTCAAACATCGCTACATCTGGCTGCCCACAGTGGTTCATGGCAAAATCCAGCGTGGGAAGTTGGTAGTTGGTGCCAAAGTCAGCAGCCTCTCGGGCGTAGCACAGAAGAGCTTCCTGGTTAACATTTTCACTGCTCAGCAGCATCTGGGTGTCTATGTAATCCTGTTTAACACAAGCATGAGAGTCAGGAGTTTGAACACAGAAAGTCTCAACATTTCCAAAAAGACCAAGATTATATACTGTTGCTTAAGAGGGATTCTTTTGTTTTTTAAAAGCTGCAGATGGAAGTAAAATATAAGCCATAAAATATATGAAAATGCAGTTTTTGTGCATGTCATTCCTTACTGAGATGTTCCCAACTAACCTGTTTCTTGCTGCCTATGGGCTCTTTGCTTTATTGATGGCATTATGTTGTACTACAATTGATTATATGGATTCCTTCTTTAAATGATAAAAGGAACTGAACTTCAAGAAGGTAAAAATAATGACCCCTGAACACATGGTGCGCTTACATGGATGACGACTCCTTTGTCCAGCAGGCTTTGCTTCTTGGCAGTCATGACAAAGTAATGTGTGTTGTCCCTGTAGTACACGATGTTCTCCAGATCAATTCCTGCACAAATGATAGGGTTTGAGAATATTTAAAAGCACCAAAGAGGCATCAAATGTTGTAGAGGACATTACTTTATGATTCATTATTCTTTATTCCAGCTAACTCCACAGTAAGGCAGACTGAGCCTCACCTGTCTCCTCTTTGAGGTCGAGAAAGAATTTCTGGTTGAAGATGAAGGCCACGCCGCTGATCTCTTCTACTCTCGCCTCTGCAGTTGTGTTCCTGTTAATGAAGTTGGCTGTTATGGCTATCGCCAACTTTCCCCTGAACTCCTTCCTTTTGAAACCTGATAGAGAAAAAAGACAGAAAATCAGATAAAGAATGAATTAGATAAATGGGGGGGGGGGGGGGGGGGGGGGGGGGGTAAAGGACAATGATCTTCACAGGTAAACCAGTACTCTAGCCTTGAATCGTAATTACAAGGCAGTTATTTCAGGATAAGAGGCAGCTTAAGAAGGTGAGCCCTTGTATAACCGAGGGAACAAAAGGCAGGCATTGCAAAAAGCACCAGGAATTTAATTAAAAGTGCAAGTTTAGCATTTAAGGGCCACTTCAGCCTTTCATTTTATGAAGAATGAATGAAGTAAAGACATTTTATTTTATTCATATTTTCAAGGAATATGATTCTATAGATACTGTGCAATACTAAACCTGAAAAAAAGAAACTCTTACATCTGTCACCGTGAGATCTTTTGAAAGACATCAAGCAGCAAAGAGAAAAAAAATAGGGTTTTCTTAATGGCACAACGTTCTTAATCAAGATGAAGGTTGCTGTTATATTTTCATTTATATCAAATCACCTTTTAAACCAGCAAACCACATGTAATTCTAAAGCTGTCAGTGCAGTAAAGAATGTTATTGTGTTGGTAGCTAACTACAAATTGAACTATGAGACAGTGAAAGTACTTAGGAAGGAGTGCATGTCTGAACTTGTGTCACAGCTCCATACTGACACTGTTAAAAATCCCAGAGGAACATTTCCCCCTTCTCTATTTCTTCACTGCAATGCAGATGTGATTGTATTTAACTCTGTGTTACCGTAGCTAGGCCACGAAAGCAGCTGAAAGGCGGGCTGACTGCAGGGGAAAATCATTCCCTCCAGGCTTCATCATAATTGAAGAATGAGCTAAACATCTTGTCTAGCCCAAAATTGCCCTTTTTAGGAATAAGCATCTGATGTGAAATTGGTTGTTAGATGACAGCATTTTTAGGAGAGAGTCCAGCGTGAATGCATCAGCTGCTGAGCCAAAGATCTATTTATGTGCACTGTTTCAGGGTTTTGTGATAAACCTTTCCCCTGGGAGAGATCAATGGCTTCATACAGGTCTAAGTTTACCAAAAGTAAGTTTTAATTATAGCTTGACAACAGAAATAGTGCAGCACACATTACTCAAAGGAAAGCTCAGAAACACTATTCAGTCAACAAGGTGTGCTGGGTTTTATCATAGTTCTCTGAAACATGTCTAGGATGGGAGAGATTTCCCAATAATGCGAACACATAAGTGGAATATGGACAGCCTTTTTTTTTATTATTGCAAATGAATTCAGGAAGAATATATTTTGTTGGCTAAGGCATGATGTTTTTTTCCCAAACATCCTGCCATTCACTCATCTCACGCATACTCACTCATAATTTCCTTACTGTATTTGTCTGGGGCTATCAATCGTTATATCTGCTGCTCTCATTAGTTGGTCACATTTATTCAATTGCACAAAAACACACCTACATTTTTATCCTACCATCTTTCTGATGTCTCTTTTCAAAAATATCTCCATGTATTGAGTAAGTTCATGCTGATGTATGACGCGCCCCTTTTACTTCCCAAACAGTTTCGCAGATTCATCAGCCTCATAATTTTATCTGCCACCAGCCTCAGCAGTATCCTCATAAACCTCCATCCCCACCAGTTTCTGGGCTCCAAGCGGGGATTTATCTTTCGGCTGCTCAGGGCAGACACACCTTTGATAACAAATAAACACTGGGATCACTGTTTTTTTACTTCCTGGAACAGACACTGGTAACTTAATAATGTACTTTGTTGGCTAAATGAAATACATCCTTGAGGCACCTGTATTTTTAACACCCCTTTTGTTCACTGTCTTCTCACCTTCCAGAGTATTTCTGCGTCCGTCGGCCCCCACCACGACATCAAACTCAAAGTTGGCCACGGGGTGATCAGCAGGTCGGATTGCAGCTCTCCACCCAATACCTGAGAGACAGAAACCAAACGGAGAAGGTGTCAGACACATCAAATAATTTCCTTTACATACATTAGAATATTCCCTTCCCCTCCAGACATCTGGACCATTCTGACACTTGCTTTGCTTTAATATTTCTACATAAATAGAAAGATATAATGGCATACTTTGCGAGCTACAAACATGACTAACAAACAAAACAGTTTACAGATTTAACATTAGCCTTTTAAAGTATGCGGTGTGTGTGTTGCAGGAGTGTGAGAGCTTGGGGACAGTTTGTTGCATCGCCTCGTGGAAAATTCATACCTTGATGTCAAGGGCACAGCTAAGTCCGTCACAGCAGAACAGGAGGGATAAGTTTGTGTCTAAATTTAGGCAAGGCTCTTGTTGTTATCACAGTATAGATATAACAACTGAAGAGAACACCTGACAGCAACGTGTCAGATATTTTCTTCCTGAGAGTCTATAGTCCAGTGTGAAGTGCTGAATGTCTAAGAAAATCATGACATGAGAGGGAAATACACAACAACTGCCATTGTTTTACATAACGGACACATTGTTTATTTACTCATTTGATATGCAAATGTTGTATATATATATAGCATGTGTAAATTAACACTTACAGGAACGTTAGGAAATACACTTGACCTGTGCTAACCTCATCTAAATATAATGAAGAACTAAATCAGTGCCAATGTTTTTCCCCTGTTTATTGGTGGATGTCAAGGATATTAAATACTGCAGGATGAGAAGTCCCTTGCTGTCTGACCAGTCCTGAAGCAGAGCAGCAGAGTAAAAACAGATCCTAAAAGAAGCTACGCAGTATCTAACAAACTGACAGATATAGCCTGATGTCTATATCTAGCTTTACACAATATTAAACTCTTCAACCTCATCCCACCTCACCCCCCGGCTTTATTGATTCCAGCTGTTCTTCAACTTAAACAAAGCTTGCAGATTATGAAACAACTGTCTGTGGATGAATATAAACCCGGTGTTTATCTTTGGTTTGTGGATGGATACCTTCATTTTCCTGATCCTCTGGAGGTTCCAACAGTTTGACAAACTCCACATTGATGTGAAACTCCACAGCAACAATCAGGGCAACCTTCAGCAGGACCAGCTGCAGCTTTTGAATGCCTGGGAGACACAGAAACACACATCAGTGTTTGCAAACACAAGTAAAACACTGGCAGACTGTGTTTGGTGTTATGTTGTCTTGACACTGTTGAGAGAACTGTTACTCTCCTGTATCTTTGCTGGTGCTTACCTCTTGTAGTTATGTTGGAAAGAACAGCACAAACCAACACTCGGTTGATGTTCTAATCCTACAGTATATATATATGTCCTTTATATCGATTTTAAACTTCAGTTATTTCCTAGAAATCTACATAATTTTCTTTATTCATGTACCCATACCTTATAGAAACGGTTTTGAAAGTACAAAAATACAAGTACATAATGATTCACACATATACAATCATGCATCAAAAAGTAGTAAAAGGAGTGGAAATAAAAGATACAGCCCAAATTGTAAAGCTGTACTACAGTACCAAGAGAAATGCAAGATAGATAAAAGGCCAAATAATATATTAAAAAGTTACATAACAGCTAATAGAATTGCAAGGCCATAGACTTGAGCTTCAACCCTTTTTATAGATTGTAGCCTGTGTCCAATATAATAATGTACATTAAAGGAGATCACAAACACTAACAATATGGGATCACAGGTCAATGAAAAGCAGAAACTGCCAGCGTGTTTGTTTCTATAAAGTCAGACACTCACTTATGTGGTCTATGGCCCCGGCGCAGAATTTGCCATAGAACTTTTTGGCCCCGAGGCCCCGCAGGTCATGAATGGTGTAAGGCCAGAGGTGCAGCACGTTGTTCCTGGCGAAGGAGTCTCTCTTTTCGATCACCACCACTTTGGCACCCATCAAAGCGAGCTCGATGGCTGTCCGCAGGCCGCAGGGGCCGCCTCCGATGATCAGACACTGAATTAAAGAGATGACAAATTGATCTCATTACTTACACAAGGCAGAAATAAATAAAGGTAATCAAAGACAGCTGAGACTTTTCCTGCAGAGGGGGCTGGGATGAAAAATGGTTTACAATACATCCTACTTGTTTATTAACATAGCATTGTATCATCTACATAGATCATGACAGGAAGCAGCACTTTACTGCATCACTGGAGCATTTACAGGCTGAGTGTCGCACTCAAGGACACTTCAGCAGAGCTAACACTGACTCGGAGGATAATTTCAGTCTTAAGAAGACTTCTCCGGACCCTTTGTGTGTGTGTGTGTAAGGGTTGTTCATGAAACATAAAGAGAGTTTATGCGCTGCCTGAAGCAGCGCATTTATCAGGAAATTGCCAAGAGGAATGTTTGTGAACATCAAACCATGATAACAACCGTTCCCCTACATGTCTAAGGTGGTATTCATTCATCGGCCTCACCCAAAAAATGCATGAAGTCAGTTTATTGAGGTTTTAGATTGCGTCTGAGAATGTGAAACTCAAACATGACATCATCCTCTTGAACGATAGATGAGAGAAATGACGCATGTGTACTGGTAAACTGTTTTCGTTCCTTCTAAACACAAAAAGAGGCTCTATAGAGAACTAAAAGGAGAAAAATATTTTTTCTTTCACCTTCCAAGAAAATACTTCAATGCAACAACACCAAGAGCTCCACTCTGTACAATCTCTAAATCCCACCAGTGTGCAGACAGAAGTTCGAAACATATTTGAACACAAGGATTCACTTCCTGCAGGATAAGACAAAGTGCTGAGAGTGCAATGAGGTGCCATCCGTGCATCAGTTCTGTGAGATAATCGGAGTGGGTGACTTTTACAGAACACCCAGTGCCAGCTGACCGAGTTCCAAATCCTGCCCTAAATGGCTCTCTACTCCTGCACTAAAACCAGATGATTGGGGCTTTAGTCACTCCCTATTATCCCTCTGTAAAAGTGTGGTTAAACATCTGCCTCACTGGGGATGTGGGTGATGAGAAACACAGTGTGTTATCATGTGTTGCCTGAGGTTATCAGGATGAGGTATTCTCAGGTGTGAAGCACACACACAGGTGGTGAGAGAGCTGCCCAGACAAGCCTGGCTGCTGGCCATGTTTTTTTGTAATTCCCTCAACAAAAGGGCACCGAGTGTAAATGTAAGCCGGAGAGAGATGAAGGGATGCTGAAAATGTCAATTATGTGCACAGTACTAACTCAGTTTATTCAGATGTACATTCACAATGTGCACATTTCTAATCTAAACTCATGAAGCTGTTTCCATCTGTCTATCAGCCTTTAGCGGTAACAGGCTGTTGGTTTTAGCCAGTTTCCATGAGCTAACATATTATTCCAGATACAAGGCTTTTCCTGGTGGCTCGCTCCACACCTGTTGAGTCAGCTTCCTTTCAGCTTCCCACTTGTGACCTCGCTCCCTTTCAGCTTCCCACTTGTGACCTCGCTCTTATCCCACAGCCACCTCGCCCTGGTCACATTTGTCCCCCCACCTTTTTAATGAACTCTATCTGTTAGTCAGAGTATCACCGTTTTCTTTCTCATCTCAGCAGACAGTGTGGCTAATACAACGAGCTCTATTAGCATCTAGTATATTGATTTAAATGTTCATTTAACCAATACATATTCCCATTCGAGATGTGTGGTTTTACTTGCAATATTATATAATTGATCAAATGTTTACATCATTTCAACTGTGAAACTGTGTAACTGCAAAGGCTGTTTGACAAAGCATGACAATATCATCTGTGGACAGCATACTGAATCCTAACATTGGTCTGATGGAGTGTTTTCGCTTGGAATTTAATCTACATTTTTACTGAGATTTTCTATCTTGAATTGACATCAGTTAAATCAAGATATGCCAACCGTTTAAGTGTTACATACTGTGTCACTGAGATCAAATGATGAAATGTGCCGGGAATAATTCAAAAAATCACATAAAAGATGAGAAAGAAAATATCAATGTGCAATTTCTCCGTGCACAGTGAAGCTTTATGAGGAAGGAACAGACTGTGGGTTGCATTTCAGTGTCACAACTGCCAGCTGTGTCAGGCCATTAAACGCGGATGACATCACATCCTTTAAAGATTGCTGCTACAGGGGGAATATGAAGACGAGGCGCCGAGTAATATCACATCTGTCGAAGTTAAAAGAGCTGAGGTGCCATAAAACGTCACCAGGTGATTTTTCCCAGGGACAGAATAAATTAGAGATCAAATAAAAGCTCATTGTTCATCCTGTGAGTGATTAAAACAGACGTAATACTGCACGTGTGTGCTGTACATGTGTGGATATTAATAAGCAACATAATAAAATGGCAGGCTTTTATAAGCAAAACTCAATCTCATAAATTCCCAATAAAGTGAATAGTGTTTCAATAATGCACACAATCCACTGTTTGAACATCTGGTTTAGTACTTTGGGAGCACTAAAGTAACAGTAGCACAGTAACACTTTATTTAACAACACAACCCTGTGGATTGTCAGAATTACAAAACTGACCTAAAACGTTTGGCTCAGAAGTTAAGGAGAGTCACACTTTATTTATTTTTACCTATTTTGGTGTTGAATCAGAACGAACCTGTAAATCTGAGCTCACGCTGAAGCATTTGAAACACACTTTAATAACAATCTGGGCCGGGCTCCAACTTAAAAAGAGCCTATAAAGAAAAGAGCACACCCTCAGAACAACTGGGGCCAAATAATCACAGTTGGTGAGAGATGCTGTCTGTTCTCTGCACAATAAAAACACTCTTTCATGCTGCAGGCCTGAAAGGTAATCACACTCCTCCAGGTTTTCCTACTTTCCCTCATCACCTTCACTGCCTAGCCCCCTCCAAAACACACACCCTGACATGATTTCTTTGTCCATATTCCAACTATCTCCATAAATAAACTCAAAAATAGCTCTCCAATAGCTCCCTTCTTACACGTGTTACAGGAATTTGTCTTTTGTCTGCTACAGTATTTGCTCTCGGAAAGGGATCGGCTGTTTGTGTTGTTTGGCTGCAAGGTAACGCACAGTTGTAAAGTTGTTTATCTTCTGTATTTTTTCACAACTTCTGGGACACTTTTTCTTTTGATTATGTGGACATGTGGTTGAGTATGATGTTTCTTAGCTGTGATTTATAGCAATTTTACTGTTTGAACGACTAATTACATATATGGTGGGTACATTGATGGTTCAGTGGAGCATATTCTATGATATAAAGTCACATATGATGTTTGTATTTCATTCTATACAGCTTTGTCATGTAGCACCTGTCTGAGGGGGAAATATCGAGTGCAAAGCAATGTATATCTGTTTAATTTCCTGCCTGTATGTTGGGAGCTGTTGCAGTGAAAGAGTGAGTGTTACTGTAGTGGATGGCAGGTAGAGGTGAAAAGTGATACAGCTCACTGTGGTTTCCTTTAATACAGAGAGCTGATTGTTTCAAACAAAAACGTGGTGTGACCTTAGGTGAGGTCACTTAGACACTTCCTAAGTCATGAAAACATCAACTTTAATGATGTATGAACAAAACCTAATTATATTTTAAGACCATTTAAAAAGGACCGGAGACATTTTAGCGGTGTGAACTGTTTTCAAAACACATACAACACTTTTTACGCTCTCTGCACTTAATATAGATTACTCATCGCGGTGAACATTTAGTCATTTAGTTATTATCGTAATGTTATTGCTCAACAGTTGGAGAAACTCTTCTATTTTAGCTGATATACTTGAAAATCTTGATCAAGCTAATAAAGACTTTGTGAAAAGTAAGATGGATATTGTTGTTTTTTTCTATTAAAATAGCTTCTGTGAGGCAGTTGACTGAAATTCTATGATGTGGTGCATTCACTTGGTGGTGCAAAATAGCTATATGACCACACAAAAATAACAAAACGTTAACAGTGCACTTTAGGTCTATGGGAATTGTGAGAAACCACCTGCCTGACACCAGGTGGAAAATACTTGTTTAGATGTATATATTTACATTTGTCTTGCTCTACACTCTTCAATCCATCATTTTCATCTCCTAGCCTATGAGCAGGAAATATTGTTGTCGTACAGCTGTACAAAAACACATTTAAACGTACCTTAGTGCCCACACAGACTTGGCCTTTCTTGTACTCCTTGTGCAACATCCTCTTGTCCAGCTTACTCCACAGTGCTTGGGCCTTCCAGGAGGTGAGCTTGGCCTTCAGACTGCTGTAGAAAATCTCATTGTCGGTAGGGTCGAGGTCCAGCCTCCTGCAGAGGACGTTGAAGGCCTGGAGGGCTCCCTTACAGGTCGAGGACTGGACGAAGTCCTCAAACAGCTTGCCCACATTGTCCCTGTCCTCCTCCATCTCTCCCATGCTCCCTCTGAAGTAGAGAGTTTGCTGTGCTGAGGCTCCTGCTCACTTCAGCAGTCTCTGCCAGATGTGGCTACACCCTCAGCTTGGCCCGCACCGTCATGCCCAGTCTGTGAAGGCAAGACACATTAGAGTCTGATGTCATCTCATGGCAGAGCATCTCTCACAGATGGCTTTTGGCAGCTGATGTGTTTCCAAATTCTATAATTAGCCTGATTAAATGGAAATGTTTCATTACATTATTTCAATTAAATGGTTTAGGGTTAAAATTGTTACATTTGAATTCAATGACAACACAGCTGTATTTCATCTTCTCCATGACTCAAGCAGACATTACCGAATGATCAAGAGGCTGCTCTGTACCAGTCCTCGGTACAGTACAGTTAGCTTACACCCACACTGACGAGATAACATTTCAAGTAGAGACAAGACAGTGTAGATAAAGACTGGGGATTGAACCAAAAAAAGTTAAATGAGCTGCCTGTCGTTGTCAGACAGCTGCTGAACACATTTACTACATGTGCTTTTTAGAGGCATAACCCTTTACAGAATCAAATCAGTGAAGATCCAACAAGAGGTAGTCACCATAAACAAATGATCAAAACTATAAAGTACAGTACAGTAAGCAGTATATATATATCTTGCGATTGAATTACATCTGCCAAATTGCACTAGGAGCATACATTGGAGTCCATGCCCCCTACTTCTGGCCCTCTTGCTCGGACCACACCCATCTCCAAAGTCAGCTTTCATTTTAAATTTGAACTGCACCTGTTGGGTTTCGTGAGGCTAACTCTGCCATGTGCGTAAAGTTTGGGGGAAAGTCCATTGGCCGTTTACCTCCTTGCCCAGACCATATCTTCAAATGTCACATATTTGAATCACTATGACAACGATGGAACGTTTTTGAACCGCTTCCTGCACTGTTGCAACGCCATTACTATAAAGGAAATCTGTCCACAGACACACACACAGACTCAAAAAGTGGAAACAATAACACCAGTGCATTGTCACAGCTGGCAAAAACATTTATACTGTACGTCTTCAACAATGGTAAAAGTGGTTTCCTTATTATTGCAACCTGCAAGGAATTCAAACCTTTCATTCCTGGTGTGCAGCACTGACCATGGATGAGTAGACCGGAGAAGTATTTGTCTTGTGGTATTTTTGGTATACATTCCAGCTGAAAACCAGACAATGTTTTCAGCTGTAGAGAGAGAGGTCTTTGAAACCAGTTGTAATGCAAGTTCAGACAAACACAGATTAATGAGCTTTGATGGTGTATGCATGCTTCATAGTCCGCCTTCTTCTGAGGAATGTGCCTTTGGTATGATTACATATGAGCCTACTTGTGAAATATACCATTACAAAAACTGACAGAATTAAACACAATACAGTTTAGTATTTTCTTAACTCCAATCAACCATCAAGCAATTGCTAAACCATGCCAGAAAAATCTTTGCCCAAACACTACATTAAAAGTAAAATGTGGAAATGTTCTGCATTTAGCATGCGTGGGGTGGAGACCACAACTTCTGTGAGTTTTGGGACACGTCTGCCTTTGATATTTTAATGTCCCATAGAGCAGGATGGGCAAGGTTAGAGGAGAGGTCAGATTAGCTATGCAGGACTCTAAACAGCCCCCCGCAAATTACGGTCACACCCCACTCCTGGTAGTATCCCGACTGTGACCCGAAACTGCTCAAAGACAGCTTCAGCCAGGGACAATACACAAACACAATGGCTAAGTTAGGAGCTACTTCTGATAATCCTTCAAAACTGGGTCACAACATATTTGATTATGATTTGAATGTGGGGATGTTTTGAATATTGCTCCTACAGCAACAGTGTTTGTCCCCATGCTAAAATTAGCATATTCATTTGCACAATATCCTGCTTGGCTGCGTGTTTGCATCCTGTTTAGGAGAAAGACTCCAACAACACCAACCACCCTGTAGAAATACTATACACCCAAGTGACCCTTAGTCTCTCTTTTGGTCACCTGTGTAGCTTTACAAGCCCCTGACCTGTGGGGAGATACTGTGGAGCCCCGAGGCCTTACACAGCCGACATTCAGCCTCAAACTCGGAGAGCGGACATTCCTTTGCCACGTGCATAGCCCTGCTCCATCAGCAGCCCTCAACACTCTGCTAGCCCCTCACTGGCTCCACCAGCCAGACAGTCACAGGACCACCGCCATCGTTTCTTGGGGGGAATTTATTCAGATTGTCAATGAGTGAGGAGCGATGACTGAGACAGGCACGATATATGATGCAGGTGCTTTAATCTTTCATGCATGGCAGCCGACTGTGATGGGAAAATTGCTGTGTATTCTAGCATGTGGTATGTGGAGTGTTTGGGGCCTACATAATATCTTCTATAAAGCCTCTGTGGAGTCATTACTTTTGACAGTTGAGGTTCAAATATGTTGTTTGAGGTAGAGAGATGTTAACAGAATATAACATATTGTGCAGATAAGCAGACGTACATTTTCATAACTGCTGTCTTTTCACAAGAACAGCTATTAATAACTTTATGTGGACATCATTTTTATTCTAAACTTTGGCCGGTGTTCAATAATCTCTCGAGCATTGGTGGAAAGTTCAAATAAAGACATGTTGACGGCACTTATGCTTTTCCGTTTCAGTCCAAGTAAAGTGGTTAAAAAAGCACAACTATTGGAACCATGTGTTGCACGAGTCTGCGAGGACTAATGAAAAGGTACCACTTACTGTCTTCAGAGCCAAGTCAACGCTCAACACTCAAACTGCATTGTCTCAGACAGAGTCCAATGACTTCACCATCTCGGTCTGACAGAATGGAAAGTCACTTGTGGGCAGACAGAACAAACCCACAGAAAGACTGTAAAAATACAACTAATGACACACGAAGCGGAAAGAATACACACACACACTGCACACACACTATACATCACAAACGAACCATATAATGCTTAAGGGGATCAGAGAGTTTAATAGTGAGCAGGTTTCCTCTTCAAGTCTCCTGTCTGTTTAGAAAATTATCAGATTGAGTTTAAATGACTGTACCTAATTAGGTAAGTGAAGGGTATGGATTAATTTATGTTTCAACAGTGAGGATTGTATTCAGTGATTAACGGCTGTTATAAGCTACACACTTCTGTGTTCGGATACTTTTCGGATATGTATCATTTTAACATTATTCATGTAATGACTTTACTGTACTCTGGCCCATTGCCCACAGAGAAAACTGTCTGTACTTCCAGAAGATAGATCTGTGACCGAGGGTACAGAAATAAGAGAGACAAAGCAAGCTATCTGTTTCTAGTACAATAAAGGGGAATGATAGAAATGTGAAAAATGACCAGTTACACCTGGGAGGTAAAATGAGCATTTAAATAATAAAATAAAAACATGTCTACTTTTAACACACACGTCCCACCACATTCCTGTAAAACATACACATTTTATTTTGATCTTTTTATACACTAATGTGACTCATTATCAGGGTGTTATTTACATAGTGGAGGTTCATGGCAGGGATGAAGATACAGGCTTTGGCCAGCAGGTAATCCATTTTAGAAAGATCGATTCTTGGTTGGTTTTGGTGTTTTTGTTGGATTTTCTATCAATAAATAACTATCCATTCCATTCATATCCCAGAAATACTTTCTTTAACACATTAACATGTGCAGTACATGAACAATCCAAAAGTGCCCACGTGTTTGCCTGGGCTTCATTAGCCAGTCCTTTCTAAATCATACAGTGTGACTCCGACAATGACAAAACTGTAAAGACACTCAACTCTGGGTCGAACCGATGACGCAATGTCTTCATTTGTTTTTGCAGAGCTCATAGCATCAGGCTATCAGAGTACAATGGGAAGCTGACAACACAAGAAAAATATTGGAAGTGCTGGGAAAATGCACATACTGTAGTGTGGCCAGCCAGCAACAGTAATTACAGACTGGACTGAAGAAAACCAGGAAGGAACCCTCTGTAGGCTCGATAAGCAGGCAGTGTGCCTCAGAAAACAGAGCACTCATGGACTTCAGCCGCGGGCTCTGCCCTTCACCCGGCCCCAGAGACCACAGTATTATCACAGCCCTCTGAAACCTGGCTGCATGTTCGGGCAGCGGTGCCAAAACAAAAGATCTGTCACGACGAGCAAGGTAGAAACACTGACAGAACAGATAAGAGTCAGTCAACTTCAGGGGAGAAACCTGTGAGTTTAGACAAAACAGCAGCAGGCTTGTGAAGGCTGCTGTCTGCAGGCCTTCTGCCCACGAGGTGTGTTCACCACATGGCTCCTTCAGAGAGTGATTTCTCTGGACACACTGAGCCCATACTGACGCCTGCCCAGCTGCTGACACAACAACAATTCACTAGAACAATTAATCTGACCATGACTACACTAAAGGAGAACAAAATAATCATTTTGAGGGATATTGGAATTGTGATATTCTTTCTCGTTATTACAGGGACTAATAATCTTTGCATCATTATTATTTTATATCTCTGAAATATAAAGTGTGGTTTGCCAGGATCTCTATCAAATGAACAGTCTGTAAAATATGATTTGTCCATCAGGACTTTCTGCAGCACTACAGTACTAAATTCAGTATGGCATTTTGACAAATATTTCACCTCCTGCAGATATTGGACTAGTCCATTGCAATGACCATAAAAGTCTGATTAATGATTCAGCCCCAACTACACATTCTCATGTGTAACAATTAATATGTCTTATTTTATAAGAATTAACAGTCAACGAATGTACTAAGACAAAGGAAAACAGACTCACGTACCCTTCAGAAGAGACAAACTTGTGAACTTTGATTCTCTTAACCGCCAAAAGTAGCAAATGTAAATCACAAAGGCGAAGACAAGCTGCACACCGACTGACACTGAGGGTCAAAGATCAGTGGGCGTCTCTCATTCGTCCATATCACAGGGGTTGACGGTGCAGACGGCTGTAATACTGCCTGGCAGGAATAGCCGATTCTGTAAGCCAACTATCAGTAAAGCCAGGCCCAGAATAGACATGAAGAGTCATGTTTCAGGCCAAAACAGCACATCACATGAAAAGTTATCAACAGGGCTCGACCCTGTAAACAAAACTATCTAAGATGATAACACAAATGTTCAAATTCCCAATCAATAGCAGACAAACGGTCTAAGGTCACTCATGTTAAACTGTAGCAGGACTTGAAAGCAACACAGAGTAAAGCTTCGCACAACAATAAATAACAAAAACAACACTATGGACTTGCTGTAACATTAGAAGTGTTTTGGTAGTTGAGCGATGCATCATGGTGATGCTCTGAGGAAGAGATACAAAGCCTTATTTTACATTTGAGTGCATTCTCCTTCAGATGCCTCCCTTCCAAACTTCTCCTGCGGAGAGTCTGTTTTCCTGTCTAGATCAAAGCTCAGAGGAGAGCTGCCTCTGTAAAAGTCCACCTCTGTGATTTTAAAGCATGACTCAGATAAGTTTAAACCCTTTTCAGCGTGCTCCTCGCTGACCAGCTGGAACGGGTTAATGATATCCTGCTGTGACTTTACCACAGCAAAGTCTCCTTGTCCCTCCTTCAGTGGCTCTATCTCTAGGGGTGCTATGGTTTAGTTGTTGTATGTCATGACATATCTTGGGATGTAGCAGCTTTGAAGAGAGCTTACATATTGTTTGACCTATAGTTGTTTACAGGCTAGCAGGCAAAAAGGGAACAACATGCCCCACCTCTGCTGGTTCCTGGACACATGTGTCCGTTTTTTAATGCTGTGGAACCAGGAAGGAAACATAATGCAGAGAGGAAGGAGAAAGTTGCCACCTCCCTGGCAATAATGAGCACAAGCTTCCACTCACAGTCTGTTTATCGGGCTGTGTGAAACACTTACATTGTTTGTTTCCATCCACAGCATTACATCCTCACATATCTTTATGAATCAGAAGTATTGTACTGATTCGCTCACTCACTAGGCCTTTCATTTGTTGAAAAATAACTTGGGTATCCACCCGCTGATTTGGACCAATTTTGAAATGGATGGGTTCAATAAGTTTCATGAAAATCAGGCCAGCAGTTTTTTTTTCTGTTCTCCTTGTGACAAAGAGGAATTGAAATCATTGGCAATGGTAATTTTACAGTAGGACTGAAGTAAGCACAGAGACTTGTGGGATAATCTTGCAGGAGACTTTAAATGGAATAGATTGCATCTAAAAGACGAGGTATTATTTTGAGGTTTTCTGTCATCATAATTTAGGCCTCGATGGCTTTTTTTTTATCTCCACACTGTTTTTAAGTTAAACTCCAGTAAAGCTGTTAATTACAACCTAAAAATAAAAGGCTGGCACAGGCATTGGTAGTTGTAAGCTACTGAAGCGGTGCTGATGCCATGGAGCTCTTTTCAAACACTCCGCTAACAAACAAAGTCTGTTTAAAAAATGTGGAAGTTTGTATGGACTGTCAATGTCAACTGAAGTTGTTTGATACACCAATATCTCATGGTGGTTACAGGGAAGTCCAGGACATTAGTTGTATTTGTTCGTACAGCCTTGTGATCTGCAGATGTTTGTATGTTCTCTCCGCTCTAGGGTGACTGTGTTTGTTGGAAGGAGGAGAACATGATTCAGAGTTAAACCTGTAATCACTGGGCTTCAGAACAGAAGCCTTGCAGCTACGTCTACAAAAAAACACTGTTGATAAACTATCGCCAAAAGAGTACTTGTCTCTTGAGAAATACACTGTTGACATTGTCTTTCCATATATTTATAACATAGCACATGAATTACAAAAAGAAACTAGGAGGGGAATTCCGGTAAGAAGAGAATACAGTGGTTGCTGTTTGCGCAAAGAGGTTGTTGAACACCGGGAGCATAAATCACATGCACCATCAGTGTTTAGAATAAAAATGTTAAGGACGATGTTTAGATGTTAGCATGTTCACTGGCAAAATCTTTCTGCAATAAAATGTGGATTTTACAGTCTGATATAAGGGTAAGCTGTATCCTAGACAGTGTTAGAGTAGACAGGAAATGATTGCTCACACAGCAATGGGAAGTAGAGCTCAGTTTGTATGACTCTGTTGACCCTCCTTAAAAATGTTGCCGAACAAATCATGTATCATCTTACAAGATGTATGAGTCACACACCGGACTGAGTTCCTGCGGTATGGGGAAACGTGGGAGATATACAAGCTTTTTTTCTGAATGAATGGGAAAAAAACAACATGTTTTTTCCTGCTTCATCAAGAAACCGGTGTTTATCAAAAATTAATCTGTGTATTTGATCAATAACAGTGGCTATGTTTCCTTGCCTGTAGACACACTAGAAAACATTAACAGTAGCAGTTTCTGTTTAAGCTTCATTCAGTAACCCGACAGCACCACACCTTGCTTTAATATGCAGGAGGAGGGCTTTACAGTGTGAAAGCTGGTGGAGTCAAAAGAGTTTATGAGCCTGTTGATCGAACAGCTTTTACTTGGAATTTAAAAAAACAACAACAACCAAAAGCATTGTCATGGGATTACAATAATCTGGATGTACCTGTTCCTTTGAATTGACAGACAAACTGTGAATCCAGTCTTGAATGGGTTGGCCGGGAGGCATGTTTGAAAGTCAGTGATGTATGCCCCATGTGATTTATAGCATAAACATCAGCATGACAAAAATGCAGGTTACACAAGTGGAGATAACCTTTGTGTTATCACGTAACAGAGAGAACCCCAGAAGATACCTAACTCTTCTCAGACAGCGTCCTCAACGCGATTATATTAAAACACGAGATTTAACACGTGTTCATTAAACTTCCCCAAAAAAATGATACCTTGCTTTAAAGCCACGTTTCAGAACAAACTGCATTTGCTCGTAATTAGCTTCCTAGTTGATACAAAGAGTAATACCGGTGTAAACTGTGGGTTACTTTGATAAAACAGTTTAAGCGACAACTTGTAATACAACATTGCCGGTCATAGCCAAAATCTTGATGGAGTTGCAACCGCAGGTAACATTTTCAAATAAGGACAACACTGAAGTGCTGTCAGGTGTCTCAGTCACTTAGGAAAGACATTACAAATAAGGTGTAAAACAAAAGGACTTGCCACATATATTAGAACTCTCCTTCTTTCCAGTGTTTTTGGTCACACGCCGTCCTGAAGTGTGTGTGTGAGCAGTGTGTCGGTCCTCAGTCCCTGACAGCAGGCAGCAGTGTTTCTGTGCAGCTCTATGGAGCAGCTGGGTCCAGTGTTAGAGGGCGGGGCTCAGGACACATCCCTGAGCCCAGCTATGCAGAGCAGCTACTGGGCTGCTGTGAGTTCTCTTTAATCCAGAGGATCCACACTTCCTCATGCCAAACACATAGTTCAATACTTATCCGACCACCCGCAGGTCTGATAGCCTGCAGGACAAAATGACTACTTACACAACAGGTTGGATTCATGGGGTTTAATCATAGACTGTATTAATTTAAACTGACTTTTTAATGTTAGAAACTGAATAAAAACTAGATTATTAAATCCTTACTAACATGTTTGTAAAAGCCTGTTCATGAGATTAAACTGAAATGTCATGTTTATGAATTGTATGAAGAAATATCTTAGACTCAGGCCAAATAAGTGGGAATATAAAGAGTGAAATGTATTGCTGATACAATACATACCCTTTCAGGTGTAGTTCCTCATTTTTGCGCCTGGGCTGCCTACGTGCCCGGGCCACTGTCAACACATTACACATTTTACAGCGTGTCAGCAGAAACTACAGTCCACGCAGCACATGGACAAAAGCATTGAAAATCTGAAAACGAGTGGGCAAAAAATAGAGACCCTGGTCTGAATATCTTTACCATGAAAGCAAATGTCGCCATCTTGAGGTCAGGCTGTGAAACTACAGGAGACTAGTTAAGACTCGGAAATACGTTGAGCCCATAGACTGTATATATAAAGGTTGAGCCCCGGGGGAAATTGGAGTAGGCCTACGCCAGTGGCTTCGATTGTAAGTTATTGAAACATTTTAAATAAAAAAAAAAATAAAAAATAGTATGTCAAATATGTTCGTTGTACTTCAATACATAGTATTACAATACAATGAAAACAATATATATAAAAACGTTTTAAAAAACGTAAAACCAGTGTGTTGCACGGTTAAAATAGTATTATTGCACAGGGCATAAATGTTCACCAAAAGTAAGAAAACACATTTCCTCACTAACCCATGGTAATTGTGATTTAGTTTGTCCACGTTTTAGATCTTTAATTTTTCTTTCTTGTTCCTTCTTATCCTTAAACATTTTTCTACGCAATTCAATGGAGATTGGTGAATTTTCTTTTTAATTCTCACAGCATTTGAACATGTTGGAAACAGTGCTTTAACTTCAGAACACACGTTTATGTTTGACTGAAATAGCCACTTTGGCTAATTTATTAATTACATTTAGAAACGATTTTTTCATATATTCCAGTTTAAACCAGCTTCAGCTATTGTGAGTTGGTACATGTTTAAGAGACGTTATGCATGAGGTGATGACCTCTCCGTGACGGATATCAGCTGTGGCGCTGTTTGTTTCTCAGCATCACAGCCACACCCTCCTCACAGTGCAGCAGCAGCAGCAGCAGCAGCATGGTGATGAGGATGAGGATGGGGATGCAAGTCGCACTGCTAGTTTTGGCTCTCACGGCTGTCTGCAATGGCATCCTCCCTGAGATAGTGAACTCAGGCATCAGTCACATCTTGCTGGATAATTCGGTCCAGGGAGGCACGGAGCAGGACAGCACGTTTGTGGAAGTGGAGCAGCTGCCAGAGGATCTGCAGCACAAGCCTGAGGATGCGTTTCATCAAGTAGGCAGACAGTTGGTCAGCATCTAGTTTTTACATGACATGGCATTATTTCACTGCTCACTTCAGATCAAAACTGTTTATTTGTATACATTGTTGGCTAGTATAATGAGATCATTTTAAAATGACTAAAACACTTCTATTTTTAGTGAGGAATAGACAGTTAAAAAAAAGCAGCAGCAGTGGCGGAGCTAGAATATGGGAGTGACTTCTTAATGCATAATATTACCTAAAATCTGTGTCTGATCATCTCTCCAATTCTTCTTGAAGGACAACGAGAGTGACAGTTCCAGCCCTCATCTCAATAACCTTCCTCCAAGTCATCACAACGAAACTGCTTCTGATAATGAATCCGTCCACACCTCAGTAGAACGGGTACGTTTAAAAACAGTAAACAAAAGTGAGATTGTGCTTGTTTCCCTTTGTGAATGAAACCTAACAGATGTCCCATCTTCACAAAGGAGACGAACAACATTACAACAGACGCCCAGTTCAGTGACCTGGGGAACAATATTGATAATGTAAGTTTTTCCTATTTACCTATGGTATTATATAATATGGACCAGAACACACATCTCTTTAAGTAAAAAAATTACCAATATGTCTTAATGTCTGCCAGCATTAAACAGCCATCTACTTGGGATAATGCCCAGCTGATAAAAAGTGTGTGTAGGATGTGCAGTGTTTTCCTGTAATTATGCAGTGCTTTTTTCAAAGTGCTGACTGGCTTTTGGGGGAATTCACTTCACGGAAAAGCTTCCTATGCAAGTTACCATATTGCATCTTAATAACTTTTACATTTTTATTTTTAGAGTTTGTTTAACACACCAGATAAAAACTATTACCTGAATGACCTTGTCAGAATAATAATGATGTGGATCATGACCTTAGCATATTGCAAGTCTATATTTTTATTGTATTACATTTTTTTTTACTTTGTTTAATGGCAGAAGAACTGGATTCTGTTTACCTACTGTACGTACTTTGGGACACTAGTCTATCCCAGTTTCAAGAGTTAAAAATAAAACTCCTTAGAAATATGAGGCAGCTTTAAATATTCAATAAAGAGTCACATGATAAACTGATGGGTGGGCAGACATTTTAAGACGGATATTTGCTTTGCATATTTTACAATAAAATGTATCATTTGAGTATTGATTGATTTGAGTAGATCATCAGGAAATCACTCATGTTCATGGAAACATAGACAACCTTCTTATTCCATGTGTTGGAGTTAGAAGTAAATCCTCTCTCTTGTGTCTAGGGATGCAGTGCTGATGGAGACTGTGGGAAGGACCGATATTGCCTTCATGACACACACAACTCCAAGTGTCTGCCTTGTAAAGCAATCGATATGGTAGGTGAACTTTAGTTACATTTATGTAGACGACTGCACTATTTTGGTATTTATTTTCTCTAAAATGTTGCTTTCAAACACACACACACACACACACACACACACACACACACACACACACACACACACACACACACACACACACACACACACACACACACACACACACACACACACACACACACACACACACACACACACACACACACACACACACACACACAGTCCCTTCCAGCAGGCTGGGGTTTCACTCGGACTGCATTGCAGCGTGTCCACAAGTGTAACCGGAGTGTGTTGTTTGTGAACACTCTGTCCTATGAGGTGCACATGAAAGAACATCATGTGTCAAGGTTAAATATGAGCTCTTCTTTACCCGCTGCTGTCCCTCTCAAAGGACGTCTACAACTAAAATAATATCAGTAATGAAAGTCTTCTCTCTAGAGAGTCAGCCATTGGTTTTATTTAAGACTACCCTACTGCTGCTTATTCTGTAGTGTCTTCATTGGATGAACTGTGTAGCAGAGAGAAGCAGTGCAAAGAGATGAAGATGCTGGCAGTCTGCCAAACACCGATACAGTGTACATTGATAATAAATACATAGAGGACAGGATCTGTGTCTCGTCAAATATGCTGCACTGGAAAACTCTGCATTGAAATAACCAGAACACTGTTGCCCGTATCCCCAAATTAACAATTCATAAAGGTTGTGTAGGAACACGTTCTTATCTTACTGCTATCAAAGACCAGGTGACCCATGTATATTTAATTCAAAGAATTAGCAGACCTCACGCTAGGGATAATTATTGTCATTCACAGGGTGAGTTTCAGCCTTTTTAAATGCATGCCATGAGCTAATCTTTGTGACTTTTAAGACACCTGTGTCACAAAGATCATTTGATTAACCTACTAACATCTTGGCTGTTTGCTGATATCATAGACTGTATAGGTAATCCCTGTGTAAATGCAAGGTTAGGAAAATTAAAAACATTGATTGACTGAAATTATTATTGCAGAGAAAAATGTTTTCTATACACCAAATGCAGCTGCCCACGGCGTATCCAAGACTTGTATTTCAATCCTTTATTAAAAAAAAGATAGCCCTGATGCATGCGGTACGGTGCAGCTGCAGTTAGCGGTTATAAATTGTTATTTTATTTTCCTGTCATGTTGTCTGTACATCAATGTTTTCTTTTTCTTATTTTTCCTTGTGTCCATTTCCTTGCGTCTCTACATCATATAGAGCCATCTAGTGGTAAAACTTTGCATTTGGCACCTGTGAGTTTTTTTGCTTTTTTTTTAAGGTATTTTCATTCATCTCATTAACTAAAGGTTACACCCTGAATAAGATGTGTGTGCTCACGCATTGCCTATTTATTAATGACACCATGAAATAGCAATTTGATTAAGGTTTTCATAACTTTTTGTCAGAAGAGTGCTTTTGACCTTTCTGCTTTTTTAAACAATTTTCTCTCTTTTCTCTCAGTCCTGCACTAAGGATAAGGAGTGCTGTGGGGACCAGCTGTGTGTATGGGGTCAGTGCACTGTGAATGCAACAAAAGGAGAGGCGGGCAGCACTTGTGAACATCAGACCGACTGCAGCCCGGACCTCTGCTGTCTTTTCCACAAAGGTACAGTTCAGCACACTGTTCACTGTATGCTGCTAAACTATTCTCTGCATTCTCTCGCAACATGTATCTGTGTGTTGTCCTTGTGTTCAGCGCTGCTCTTCCCTGTCTGCTCGACCAAGCCCATTGAGCGTGAGCGCTGCTTTGGAGCCTCCAACCACCTGCTGGAGCTGCTGTCCTGGGACGTCCAGGACGATGGACCCAGGAAACATTGCCCCTGTGCAGGAAATCTCCACTGCCAGCATCTGGGGTGAGTGAAGTACATATAATAGCATATCATTGTTTTTGAGTAATCTATTCTCATAAAATCATTACAAAATGATATTAAAGGAATCTTTCACCCTCTGAGTTATCATTTGTTTATAATTACGCACCCAGTGTTACCTTGAACTGTATTTTTGTCCCATGCCTCCAAGGTGAATAACACATCCAAAAACGGAAAAAAAGTATTGTATGAATTAAAGTAAATGGGGGC